TTCATGAAATGATACTGAAGAACCAGGTACCTACTTATTAATATTTGTTTAAAAAAAAAAAAAAACAAATTACGAACAATTTTCCGTCCGGTAAAATACGTATCTATCAAATAATATTTGTATTGACCAAAGAAAATACAAATTACGTGGTGGTAAGTACGATCATTAGTTTCATAACGGTATACTACCTAATAATTGATAACACAAAAAAAAACAAATACATATCATATTCTAGAAAATATTGTAACATTTTAATATTATATTTTGTTAAATATTTGTTGGATATTTTTAAAATGTGTACAACTTTATTTGAACCTGTAAACATTGGTCAAATGTTTGACAAATGTCGTTTGAACAAGATCATATGTTATTCAACAAACAGTTGGATACAAAATTTGGCCAATTATTAGTCGTACTATTCGGCCAATTATTAAAATTTAAAATATTTTAAAATTAATTGCCAGAAAACATTGTAAAATTTAAAATGTGTCTTGGTCAAATTTATGCTAGTTTTTTTTTTTTAAAATTGTACATTGTTTTTACACAATTTTATTTGCACTTGCAAAAATCATTCACATGTCTAAAAAACGTCAAAATCATGTTTTTCAATAAACTATTAAACATAACATTTGTCGTGTTTTATTTAATAATAATTTGGTTAAAACACATTATTGTAAGAAAAGGTTTTTTATTTAAATATTACGTTAATGATAAATCGACATGTTGTACGGACTACAGAGACGAGAGAGTAACTAACATAGAATAATATTACTTAACCTAACAAGTAACACGATAACAATACTACCACATAACCTAAACGGTTACATTGATAATATTATTTACATAATCAACTATTATCACAACATTTTACAGCATTTATAAACTATATTAATAATAATGTTGTAAAAACAATTACTTTAATAAGTTAAAGATATTAAAATACACGTAAATATCATTAATATTTAGGTTTTTATAATAAAGTAATTATTATAATTAATCTAGTAATTATTATTTATTATTATCATATTATATGGTAATACCTATACTTAACTTAATGTCATATACAGTGAAAACAATATAAACAAATCTGAAGGGACCAAGCGATTTCTTCTGTCGTCATGGAGGGAGAGTTTGAAAAAAAACCAAATTTAAATTATTTACGTATAAATACATTATGTACCTATGTAGTTACTTGCTATGTTATAGGCGCACTACTGTTATCATGCGTATAATGTTATACGTTCCTCGATAATCAAATTATTACGATGGTTAAAGTAGATAAAAGAATATAATCTGGAAACTTTGGCTAAATTATTGTAAAAAGCTTACGGCTTGAAGTAAAACTGGAACGTCTTTGGCGAGTGTCCGCTATATCGTTGGTGAGTTTTCGCCGTTTTCTCACGGTTTTTTCCTTCTAAAACGCTTTGAAAAACCTTTTAAATATATTTTAATAAATTCTGCGACTCCCGAACTTACGGTTTTCGTTTTCCGGAAATATTTTCCAAAAAAGTGCTTCGCTTCGTCCAGCCGGCTCTTGTCAGACACCGTCGCTCACCGTGATCGGTCATTGCGTCGTGATGTATTCGTATCCGCTCTGACATAGAGCGGTAAGGTAATATTGTCGCTGTGGTATTATGGTAATAGGTACTATACTATACTACGGCTCGCCGTTTTCGGCGTTATTTTCGTCAATCTCCTTCGGCTGAACAGCCGTTTTAAAAGATGTAAAGAGAAAGACGAACTATACTAAACATTTTTACACCAAGCTGGGTTTTATTAGAAATTAAAATGTCTGTTACAAACCAACTATATGAATGTATGATACGTTCAAACATGTCACAAAATAGGTGTTTTGAAAGTTTTAAAATTAAAAAGAGAAAAATAAATATATTCAGTTATTAGCACTCTGTAGATAATATTGTATATTTTATTAATTATATAAAATACCAAAATCGTCAGCATTCAATACTAATATTTTGCCGACACCGTCGCCGCCGTTAGGTCCGCAGCCGCTACCACTACGTTCGCCCCCACCTTCACCACCATCGTATCTTAAAATTTCTTGAATTAAATTATAATAATTAATATTATTTATAATCAAAAAAAAATAAATATATATATACATATAATGAATTGGAAATTTACTTACTACATTGGCGGGCCAGGTAACCCGTATTTTTGCATCGGGAAAATCCTGTAAATTATAATAAAAAGATATTTTAAAATATAGGTACAGCGTCCACGTTTTCTTTATGTGTGACTGATAGCAGAAAAATGCACAGTCGCTTATTCGTCAATGTTATACTGTAACTTACTACGGCGTCTTTGAAACCTCGAAAGGTCCTGTACCTTCTCCGATCACGGTGCCATTTGGCGTCCCGATGTGAGCGGGGAAAAATCGTGCCTACAACCATATAATGGCTATAATTTGAAGTACAATACGCCTATAAGTATGTGTGTGCACGGCGGATGGTACCAAAAGCAAGAAAACTATGTAACGAATTTTTTAACGATCGCTATTCGAATAGTTTTCAATTTTATTACGTTTTATAATGATTTATATGACCGGTGTAATACAGTGGACGCCGCTTATAAGACTCACTTTGGGACCAGCACAAAGTGAGTCTTATAACCGAATGAATATTATAGGCAAAGTTGGAAACAAAAAACAAAATATGTACATATATATGAATTTTTTACGACATATTTTGTTTTATTTTAATCTACTTAAATACATACATATTATATATTATTTATTATTTATTAGTTGGTTTTTCGGTTTTTTGCTATGTCGAATTCAGATTCAGATGAAGAAAACATCATTGATTATTATCAATACCGAAAGCTACGCAGAATACAGAGGGAGCATTTGGTTCATCCATACATAAGAGAAAATGCGAACTTAAGGCTATTTGTAGCAGCACAAGAACTATCTCGGACAGATAAAAAGTTTATTGCTTTTTACAGAAAGTCGATAGAAACTTATCAGGTATTAGCAATGATGGTTGGCCCTTTTCTGAAGAAAATAAACACAAATATGAGGGAATGTGTGCCTGCCGGTGAAAAAATATTTATCACATTGCGGTAAGTTATTTTTAATTTTATTCAACAAAATATTTCAAATTCTTAGATATTAAAAAAAAAATAAGTAACCAAATCAATTTTTTTTAAATATACAATTAGAGAAACGATTTTTACATTTTTTTTTTTTTTTAAATACAATTTATATATCTCAATCTTATGGAACCTGTGAAAAATTGTAAAAGTCTGTTGTTTGCGATATGTGTAAAATTTGAGAGGAATCAGATACTGATGGGATCATTGTGTGGAATGTTGATGCCTGTGGCTGGTACTGCGGAGTTGATATATCGTCAATAATGTTGAAAACTCGTCGCTTGAATAATTTAATTTGGGAATCACTTAGATCTTCCAATTCTGGTATTAGACTGAGTAAAAACATTTTGATACCCTGTTGCCTATACATTTTTTGAGAGCTATTCTCTGCCTCATTCATCGGCCGTTATCCGCTGTGTCGATAAATATTAAAATAACTCACGTTTACGGCAATCGTATATATACATTGAAGCTATTAAAACTCTTCAACGGGGAAATAATTAGAGGCAACAAATACAAAATTAGCACCAAATATACTCTCACTAGTTTATAAACCGTTGGATACAAAAAATACGAAAAACGAACCAATTAAATCCAAAGAATTGGAGAAAAAATGCAGGAGCGATGTAATTATAAAACGAAAGAGGTCTAACCCATACGACTCGTAAAGACTACCTATCTAATTAAATTTAAATTAATAATTCGTAATTGTATATGAGTCTTTCATGTTTAATTGTAAATAAATTCGATAGGTATTCTAGGTTGTATAGTTTTTGGAGCATTTTTCCTGGACTATCGTGATCTTAAGTATTTGAAGTACACTGTATTTTTAAAAAAAAAAAATTTTATTTTATTTTCCGTGTGTCACTTGACATGACTATTTCTACGCTCTGTATCTTACAATGTTATTTTGCTCAGTGTTATTTTTTTTTCTGAAATTCAATTATGTATTGTACTCAGACTCTCCAAAGGACATTTAGGACATTTAGTGGTCTTCTTTTCTTTAGCAAGAATTAAATTGTTTACGTAAACACGGTGAGTGCCAAAATTCTGTGCCTATTCTCATTTGGCTAGCCTCCCCGTTTTGTACTTTAAGGAGCCAACCATCATTTAACAGCCTGTCCAAACTCACGCGAACATTCGCCGAAATTTACCCTTTGTGCCACTAATTATCCTAACAACTATAAGGTCTGCACTGTGTACAAAGATCTTCACCAACATAAGTATCTAGTTAAAAACCAAAATAATAATGCATTTATAATTAATCCTAGTTCTAAGTAAATGTATGTACAAGAAATTCATTATATAAATAATAAACCCATACAATAAACCCATTACAAGATAGCTCACCTAATAGCCATTCTCTTAATACAACATATACTCAAGCCGCGTACTACGATTGTGATCATTAGAACTGCATTGACTCCTCTTCATCTGATATTCATAAATTAATGACTAGCTTTCTTGATACATTTAAAGCATTCATACATCCTTTGTTAGCCGTTCTCACTAAAATGGTATCCAGTTTAGTTGATAAAAAAAAAAACAAATATATCTTCATTCTGTAATAATAATATAAGTATTTTTGTAAATAATTTCTAATGATGTTTTAACACTATTCCTACCGACACTTCACGTATACCTATTTTACCGCGGCCGGTCAAATGACCGGTCTTTCACAACTCATATTTTTCAATATTGAATGCAGACCAATAGCCAGCTTACCAGTATAAAAATATACTTTCTTTTATTCAATAGTACATAATCTACATTTTATTCTTTTTCGTCGCATTTTTTACAAATGGGCTTCTCAACTATACATTTTCCACATACGTACTTTTTACATTTTAGACAAATTTTGTTCATCTTATTATCTTTACAATACCTTATCTGACATGTTTTCCGTCGACGGGAACCTGTACTTGTATTTTCGATGGGTATTGGTTGATTTTCTTTGCCGCGCTCTTGTTGGTATTCGATGGTAAGTTCTTTTGCCAATTGGAATAGAAATTCTTATCTTGCAATTTTCCTCCCGTAGTTTCTTTATATAACACCCATGCATTTATCCCGGCTAAATCTAAGATATTAAAAAATACTTGCAAAGGCCATCTCCGAGATTTAGATTTTACCGAATAATTTCTGGCCATTTGATCGGTTACATCTACATCATTATCAATAATCACAGAAAATGCCGTCCTAACTTCGCCGTTTATACGTTTACTGTACCCACTCGAGCCTGATGCTTCCCTAAAAATATTATGACGAAGTGCTCTTCCAGGATTAGAACCTATTTTTACTTCCTGTCAAACAGTTCTGTCCATCGCAATTTTGCTTGCCTCTTCCTCATTCTTACTATCGGAACTAACTAAAAATCTCCTTCTCTTTCGTCGTTTACGTACGTTCGAAATATTCTCATCAGTGTTCGAGTCGGTTTCAAGTGGATCATAATTTTCCGTATTGTCATTTTCCATATCCAGAATTTCCTGATCATCTCCAGAACATTCTGCATCGATATCATTTATTCTCTCTAATAATATATTCGCACTTCTCAAACGTCTTGACATTTTGGGGTAAATATTCAACAAAGAAAATAAAACTAAAATATGAAAATATAAATCAAAATAGATAAAAAAATGAATAAAAGATGTGATAAAATGTGAAACTTACTGTGAGGTATTGTTAGTCTTGTTCATTATTTTGAAAATTGCCCTTATAATACGTAATACGATATAAAATATTACAAAATAATAATAAAAGACTGACAAGACTATACTGGTTTGAATTCGTGAGAAGACGTCTGTAAAGCAAATAAACACCGCTAACCCTATAGTCGAGCGAGAACTGTAAATACGTGGAAGTGCCGTAAACCATTTCCTGGAAGGAACTTCTCGAATAAAATCGTGCCACAACTACATTACCTTTCGTTTGTAACGACTTTATAGTTTTGGCATTGAGTCTTAGAGAGAAACTATTACAAAAATGTATAAATCGTACTACCGGTCAAATGACCGGTCGTGACAGGTAAGACTACAAATATTTCTCAGAAAAAAAATAAGTGAATATTGAAAAATGTATCATACATATATATGAGGAAAATTCGTAAAGTTTAAAGGCGATTCAATTACGTTGAATGTAGGAAATTCCAATTGAAAATTTAAAAACGGTCATCTGACCGGTCCTGGTAGGAATAGTGTTAATAAAAATTGTATAGTCTTATCAAACACTTCAGGAACGTCACAGTATTGTATGAACTCTTCTTCAATTGCTGAAACTAATGTGAAAACTGTATAATTTGGATGTATCAAGAATCCTTTAGACTTCAAGTTCGTTAAACCTGCCTCTGATCTTGTATCAGATCCTTAAATAGTAAAATAATATTGAAAAAAAGGTAAATAATACAATTAATACACCAAGAAATAGAAAATATTCTAATTTTATCATAAATCAAAAATTAAATATACCCTTTAAAGTAGAAAGACAATTCAAACATTTCTTTTAAGAAATATTTGACGGCACATAAAACCATATATATAATATATAATACATTCTTTGGCTGTAGCATCTTGAATTTCATGTTAAGATCTGGTATATTATTTTATTTATTAATTATTTTTTTTAGTCTTGTGGAATCAGGAATAAAGTAAGCATTACACCACCATTAATTAAAGAAGGAGTAAGGGAGACGTGGGGGTATAGCCCCTCCACTTTACAATGAGGTATAAAAAGTGACGAAGATGCTTATTTTGTATAAGTAAACAGTGTACCCTTTCTTAAGTTTTCCTAATTCTAACACTGTTGAGTAACGTGTGTCCAAAGTATGCACGGTAAACTTGTACCGCCTACATCGCCTTATCAATCCACCTTTAAAGTGATAATAACGGGTATATTATTATAATTAGAACCATACATTCTCATTCGGCATTCCAATTCAGCACGTGTCTTTGTAACGGGATATTTTTACCCACCAAACATATTTACCTCTCCCCCCCGATAAATTTAAGAGGTTAAATATATTCTTGCAAATTTTTCCCCTTACCAGTAAATATATATTGTATTTTCTAGTGGGGGCAACACGATAAAAATGGCCAATAATAATATACACTGAAGGAGTAAGTATCTAACGAAACTGTGGCCAAGGGTACCGGCTATAGTAAATTTCTTGGTCGGTTCTCGGTGGTTTAAAAAATAACCCGGGGAGTCTACTTTCCTATTTGGGCTTTTTATAAAGTACAGGCTTCATCGTGGCATTAGATATTAGTAATGCCGTGGATTTATTCCGTTCCTACCGTTGGGTCGCAGCGTTGGATACCCACTTACCTCTGGCAACGGAGATTGTGTTATCACGCGCGTATCGGTAGACTCCCGGTTGCCTTTGGTACGGACTGATAATCTGCTTCATCGGTTGCCGGGGGTCGAGAAATGTCTTACTTTTCGAATTTATAACATAAAAAGTAGTCTGTGTGGTCTTCGGAGTCCCAGCGCCGAACGGAGACCCGGATGTCAGCCACGGTTTCATACTGTGTAGTCGGTGCCTTGCGGTTGGATTCGTACGGGCCTTATATCTTTTTTTTTTTTCTGTGTGTGAACCACTGCGCTACAGAAGGGGAAACTACACCTCGTCCTTCCCCCTTAATCCGTATTGTTTATTTGTTTAAATAAATAATACATCTAACCGTGGATGGGTGGTCGGTAGGTGTCCCACCTGCCAGACCCTTACAATAAACAAGCAGAACCAACAACGAAAAAAAAAAACAACACAATAAATAACGGATGACATGATTAACAACGATAAATAAATAAACCGCCATCCTGGACTCCCCGTTCAGGTTCCTCCTTGGTCGGCTTCCTCAATTAAGTTCGTGCTGCTGAATGTTTTATAATGTTGTCAGGCTTCTTGCCTGCCTGTAGTAACCTCTGGTGACGGGTAGCTGATACCTGTCACCATCGGCCACCCGCCCTCCCAGTGCCACGGACGGTTTTGGGCGTGTCTCCGGAGTCTATGATAATCGTGGTACTGTCCTTATTTATGACAGTTGCTGGCATCCTGCTCGGCGAGCTCCTTGATCTTAGAACTCCACTCTCTACGCAGTCCTATCATCTTCCTCCTTAATGAGCAGGACTTTGTCTACAAATTGCGCTACCGGTGACCAGACGGCCTTCCCATCAAGCATTTTGCAGACTATGGTGTACGGCTCCATGGTTACCCCGAGGGAAACCTCTAGTTCTCTTCTGTTCCACCGCCATCACTGAAAATTTTATGCGCTGCGTCATACTCATCCACCCCGCAGTCCACGCAGACAGGGCTCAGGCGCTTTTTGAACCTGTAGAGGTACTGACCGAAACACCGTGCCCGGTCTTCATCTGGGTCTGGTGAAAATTACAATTCCCAAACTATCTAGTCGTCCAATGCTTGACATCGCCAATCAACCTCCTAGTCCATCTTCCTTTGTCTGAACTATTCCACTCTACCTGTCAAACGGCGAATGTGGCGTCACGCTCCGCGGCCTTGTCCGCCGCCGTTTCATTCTTTTTCGTGGTGCACCTTCCTGGCTTTCTCTGGTTCTCCCTGGCAGCAAGATAGGCGGGGATCAGACCGTCCACTACCAATGCAGCATCTGTAGAGACCATCCTGGACGCCATAGCGGTTTTAAATGTTGCCTTCCTTTGCGGCTCTTCAAGTGTCTTCCCATTATTTCTATGTGCCAACATGCCAGTCCAGTTCAGGGCGGTGGCGTACAATAGTTGGTTTGAAACCACTGTTGGTAAGAGCTTCCTCGTCCTTTTTCGCAAGCCCTCGACATTCGGAAGAATCCTTCAAATCGCGTTGAGCGTATTCCTGGCTTTCACGGTAACCTTCAGAATATACTCCCTGTAGCTAAGTCTGCGGCATAGCTCCAACCCCAGATAGCAAATACTGTCCTTCGGTTGTACCGTTACCCATCCACCAGGAACGAAGGTGCTACATACACTCTATTGATGGTGAGCATGACGGCTTCTGTTTATGCGCGCCCACGTTAGCCCGTTTGCGTGCATCCATTCCGAGACCGCGTCGAGTGCCCGGTTTGCCGCAGCCTCCAGCAACTTGTTGTGGCCCGACACTACGACCGCCACTTTGTCTCCAATAGCGATTAACCCAGCCGAGGAATGGCCGGGGTTTTGTCTTCCAGATCAATTCCCAGGAGATCATTGTACATGATATTCCAAGCAGGGGTCTGATCACCGACCCTTGCGGAACGTCCCAACTCATGGCTCTGTACTGGTTCTTACAATATGTCAGCGACCGGTCACACATAATACGCGCCAGGTATCCGGGGACCTGCTTCATGTCCATCGCG